GGCTTTCCAGGTGCAGCCTTTTGGTAGGGGAGCACCCACACCCCTACAAGTAACCCTTCACTTATGCTCTGTAAACTTACTGGGTGCCCAGAGTGAAGCTGGGAGGAATCATGCATCTGTTTGTTGTTGGAGCCTTAGGAGAAGGGATAGATGTTGCATAGTCTGCCCCTGGTAAGGAATTTTAGCTACCATGTCTATGGTGTGGGAGTGTGGGAGCATATGTGCAGTGGCATGCATGTGGAGGTGAGAGGACAACTTTCTTGAGTCGGCTCTCTCCTTCCAGTGTGGGATCCAGGAATATAACTAATGTGGCCAGGCTTGCAAGGCAAGCATCTTTAACCTGTGGCGTCATCCTCCAGCTCTGTTTTGTTTGTTAGAAAATTAGACTTCTTTGTACCTGGATAACTTATTCAAATAGTAATTATATCTGTCTTTGTCTTTTATAATTATCAATATTTTTCTTGGATCTATCCTAATGTCTTTTATATTTTCTCCTCTGAACTGGTATAAATTCCACATGCCATAATATACCATTTTGATGCTTATAAATTTACCTTTTTTAATAGTCTCGGTAATTATCTAATTCATTATCTAATCATAAGCATTATCTAATTCCAGTATTTTCATCACCTAAAATAACAAACAAGAACAAAACAAAACAAAAACAGTAATGACTCTATTTGCCCTCAATCCCTGTGCCTTGGCAACATTAATCTGTTTTTTTCCCCTATTGATATGCCTATTTTGAACATTATGAAATTGTATGATGCATAGCCTTTTATGTCTGGTGCTTGTCTAAGCTTGGTTTTTCAGGATTTCCCCATATTACAGTGTGTTTTAGCTAGTTTATTTATTTTATGTATTGTAGAAGGAGCTGCGGGCTGGCGTTCCTGTCGCCCAGCTCCCAGCCACCTGGCTAGCTTATGCCCTGAAATAACAACACACAAACTATATTCATTTAAACACTGCTTGGCCCATTAGCTCTAGCCTCTTACTGGCTAACTCTCACATCTTGATTAACCCATATCTCATAATCTGTGTAGCACCACGAGGTGGTGTCTTACCAGGAAGATTCTAGTGTACGTCCATCTTGGGCTGGAGCTTCATCGTGTCTGCCCTGGAGAGGAGTGGCATGGTGTCTGCCTCACTTCCCTTCTTCCCAGCATTCTGTTTTGTTTACTCCACCTACCTAATTTTCTGTCCTATCAGGCCAAGCAGTTTTCCTTATTGATTAACCAATGAAACAACAGATTGACAAATGACCTTCCCACATCAATGTATGATCGTTCTATCTGCATATATGCCTTTATGCCTGAAGAGGGCATCAGGTTCCCTCTGAGATGGTTGTGAGCCACCATGTGGTTGCTGAGAATCGATCTCTCTCTCTCTCTCTCTCTCTCTCTCTCTCTCTCTCTCTCTCTCTCAACTTATTTATTATGCATACAGTGTTCTGCCTGCACATATGCCTGCAGGCCAGAAGGGGGTACCAGATCTCATTACAGATGGTTGTGAGCCACCATGTGGTTGCTGGGAATTGAACTCAGGGCCTCTGGAATAGCATCCAGTGCTCTTAACCTCTGAGCCATCTCTCCAGCTCTCATCCTGCTTTCTTATAGAACCCAGGACCACCAGCCCAGTGATGGTACCACTCACAATGGGCTGGGTCCTCCTCCATCAATAACTAATTAAGAAAATGCCTTCTAGGGGGCTGGAGAGATGGCTTAGTGGTTAACAGCACTGACTGCTCTTCCAGAGGTCCTGAGTTCAATTCCCAGCAACCACATGATGGCTCACAACCATCCATAATGAGATCTGGTGCCCTCTTCTAGACTGCAGGCATACATGTAGACAGAACACTGTATACTAAATAAGTAAATAAACTTTAAAAAAAAAGAAAGAAAATGCCTTCTAGCTAGATCTTATGGAGGCATTTTCTCAATTAAGGTTCTCTCCTTTCAGATAAGTCTAGTTTGTGTGTCAATTTGATATAAGATTGGCCAGGACACAATGTATATTTTATTTCTTTTTATAGTTGAAGTGATATCTTACATTTTGTTAAGCCAGTACCCATCATTTGGTAGACATTTGAGTTGTTTCCATTTGGGGATCTTATGAATAATACTGCTAAAAACATATCCTAACTTGTTTTTGTTTTAGTCTCATCCAGCTGAAACATTTATAAGGTTTTTTTAAAAGATTTATTTTTATTTGTTCATTTTATTTTACGTGTGAGTGTTTTGACTGCATGTATGTATGTATATATCATGAGAACTTGATGCCTGTGGAGGTCAGAAGAGGATGTTAGATCCCTGGAACTGGAGGTACAGATGGTTGTGAGCCACTATGTGGGTGCTGGGAATCAAACCTGGGTCCTCTGCAAGAGCAGTCAGTGCTCTTAAGCACTGAGATATCTCTCCAGACCCCCATTTATAAGGGTTTAATTTCAAACATCATATCTTTAAACTCTAATATTTTTTAAAAGATTTGTTTCTTATGTATACAACATTCTGCCTCCGTGTATGCCCGCACACCAGAAGAGGGCGCCAGATCTCATTACAGATGGTTGTGAGCCACCATGTGGTTGCTGGGGATTGAAATCTGGACCTCTGGAAGAGCAGCCTCTTAACCACTGAGCCATCTCTCCAGCGCTAAATTCCAATATTTTTAATAAGGCTTCCCCTATTACTTTTGGTTTAACTTATTACAGTGGGTGATGTGGAATTCCCCTCTGTATGCTGTGAATACCATTGGTAAATAAAGAAACTGCCGTGGCCTGTTTATAGGGCAGAACTTAGGTAGGTGGAAAAAGCTAAACTGAATGCTGGAAGAAAGGAGGCAGAGTCAGGGAGAAGGCATGCAGCCCCACCGGAGACAGATGCCAGAACTTTACCCAGTAAGCCACAGCCACATGGCGATACACAGATGAATAGAAATGGGCTAAATTAATATGTAAGAGTTAGCCAATAAGAAGCTAGAGCTAATGGGCTAAGCAGTGTTTTAATTAATACAGTTTCTGTGTAATTATTTCTGGGCTGAACAGCTGGGAAACGAACAAGCAGCCTCCTTACAACAAGTGGCTTCTTGTTTCATGGCTTCTTTTTCTTTGTTGAAGGTATAGATATTTATTTTAAAATGTCTAATTACTAACTCCTCAGGTACAAGTGTTGTCGTTTGCCATGATATAGTTTTGATGGTATCAAGCTCGTTGCTTGGCAATTTAGAGTTAATCGTCCATGATCTGTTTGCTTGAATACATCCCATGTTGTCAACTGGTAGGTCAAAAGGTTCTCAGGGTTGCTGCGCCTTAGCCTGGCATGGCGTATGTCTTAAATTCTACTTTACCTGGGTAATGAGATGCAAAGCTCCTGGAGTAATAGTTGTGTAATTCTGAGTCCTGTGACTGCTTACGTCACACAGCATCAGTAACGTGGCTTCCACCTCTCCTTTGCTTTAGCCATCTCTCAGGTGAGTAGGTGGTGCCTATTCATCCCTGGTGCAGGTGTGGAGGTCAGAGGATAACTTGTAGGAGTCAGTTCTCTATGTGGGACCTGGGGATTGAATTCAGGTTGTTGGGCTTAGCAGCAAGCAGCCCTCTTGTCTTTCCATTTATGGGCTATTACATTTTCCTCTTCCCCCACCATGAATGTGTCTTTATTAAATTTCAAAATATTTGTTCTATAATATATGTTTGAACAAGAACATGAGATTTCAACATGGGCTCAATTTTTCTTGAAATAATATACTTCTGATTCTTTCACCTTTTTATATATAATCTATATCTTGTCTGCTTGCTCATTTCTTTTTTGGTGTGAAGAATGAGATGGTTGGAGTAGACCTTTTTTAAAGTACACCATTTGTTTTATATGGTTATCAAGATTATTCTAAAGAATTCAGAGATACTTAACACCCCTTTTTGTCTTGCACTGACAATTGTCTCATTGCTATACTCTTACTAGTTTAAAGAGACATAGAACTCAGAAAAGCAGCTGAATCAGAAAAGGACCGTTGGTCAATGGTGAGCTGAAGAGTAACACAGAGTATCCAAATTCAGTATCAAGGTCACCAAGCTCCAGTGTAGCATGACCTTGCTACCAAGTTATCCTGGGCTTTGTGACTGAATTAGATTTGAAGAACACAATGACAAGAAAAATATTACTCATGAAGATGGAAGTCTAGATCTTTATCTTGGGAAAGTTCATACTTTTTTAATAGTTAAAACACTACTAGATATGAGTATGAATACTTGTATTATTATTTCAAAGTGTTTTTATTGCTATTAGGCTTTTGAAGTTGAAGTAACTTGTTACAGTGGCTTAATTCTTTACTGTTCCTGAACTAAAAAGGTTTTATTTTATAGAATGGGAGGGTTTTTGTTTGTTTTTTGTTTTGTTTTATAGTTTGTAATTCAGGTACAGAAAATAGAGAAGAGGGATGGTACATACTATGATGCTCTCTTTGTTGTGGATAATCCATGACTCTCAGGTACCTCATGGAAAGCTAGCTCTGGGTCAACACATACAAAATATCAACCAATTACTTCTTAAAATTGGTGAGAATTTGAGTTTAAGGACTGCAATTTTTTAAAAATCACGTGCCTGGAACAGTCATTCTCAAATTTTTCAGGTTTTAGCTCTAAATTAGTTGCTTTAGTGGACTTGTATTTATTAAGTAATGTACTTATTTGTTGAAAAATGCAGGACCATTATTTATCAGCTGGAATGTCTGTCACTAGTCATGACTTTATAGAAATTGAAATTTTAAATTGGTTTAACAATCTAAAAAATTAAAAATATGAGATTAGGTGTCTTTCCTCCAGAAAGTAATTCTAAATATTGAAACAATTTGATGATGTATAGACAGTTCTCATATTTCACATTTTTCAGGTAATCTTTCATCAGAGAAAGGCAGGCCTTCTTGGCTCCTCAGTTTAATAAATACATCACAGAGTCTGTTGCTTACCCAAACTGCTGTTCTGATTTGTTGACATTCTTCTTGTTTAGAAGTACAAGTTGTGCTGCCCAGATTCTCTGCAAAGCTGACTTGGGCCTCAGAGGAGGGTGACCGTTCTCAAGACACATCAGGCATAACACCCTTCCAGATGACTTTTAAGGCAAGTTTTGTTGTGGTTCTATACACTCTGATATCTGACTTAGTTTCACACAATTACAATTACAGGAAAGAAAGCCTGGTTCTTTTGTAGTTTGAAGGTAGAGTAAAATAAATATGCTTTGTAGACATTAGATGACCTAGGAGCTCCCAAAATGCTGATGTCTGGGTCCTACTGAGAGGCTGATATTTAATTGACCTTGGGAACTCACTAGTCTGGGTGTCCACACAAAATACCGTAGACCAGGTGGCTTAAGCAACAACAATCTATTACTCGCAGTTCTGGAGGCTGGAAGTCCAAGACCAAGATGGCATCTGGGTTAGGTGTAATGTTTGTGTCTGTAATCCCTGTACACTGGAGACTAACACCCTGGGATCAACTGAGCTGTGGAGAGAGGGTGTTTGGAGGGGGTGGAGCACCTTCAGGATTGCTGTCTGGAGAGCCTCTTCCTGGCTTGCAAACTGTTTTCTTGTCACTCAGTTCTTACATGGCCTTTCCTCAGTGTGTAATAGAGAGATCTCTCTTATTTGTGAAAAATAAAATCCCTTCACTGACTCTTTAAGGTGCTATGTCTGAAAATAGTCACCATGGCAACTAGGGCCTTGGAAGGTGGAGCAGGAAGAGATCAGTTCAGCGGCATCCTCAGCAGCATAGCACATTCTAGTCTGGCTGGAGCTGTGTAGGAACTGGTTCCAGAAACAAACAAAAACCAAAACCTTCTGTTTTTGAATAACTGCAAATTCCTTCTGGGAGGGGCAGGCACAACTTCAGGATACCCTGACTGTGCCTTATCTTCTTTAGGGGAGTGCAAAGCAAACAATCTGGAGCAGTTAATGGTTAGTCAGCTCTGAAACTGCTGATGCCAAGAGGCAATAAAAAGGTGATTCCGGTGAACCGAGGAAAGCAGTGCAAAGAACTGAGAGCATGTGATTCAGCCAGTTTGAGCAAATAACCCACATGACTGACATTTACAAATATTTAAGCCTCTGACATCTATGAAATAGGATTAGCACCCCACTTTACAGATGACAGAATTGAGATGCAGAGAATTGGGTTGACCTTCTTGGTGTCATATGAAAATGGAAGAATTAGAACTTAAACTGACTGATTCATATAGGTCAATGCTAGTTCAATATTTATTCACTTAGAAGGCAGTGTCTGCTCATATTAGTCACACTGAGCTAGGTCTTATGGGTACACATTCCTCTGGAGGTGTTATTTGATCGTTAGGAACTTGGAATATAAAGGAAAGACACACGTCAGCAAACATTACAAAACATTGTGATATACGCCAGAATAAGGTAAGCACTGAGGGAATCCCAACCACAAGGGATTTGGGTCTAGAGGTCTTGATATTGGAAAGCAGATTTGAATTTAGATCAGATGAATTCTGGAACAAGAGGTTATAACACTTGGAAGAAAAAAGTTTCTCTTTTTTCCTATTGCAAAACTGTTTCCCTAAGAAAAATAAAAGTATGATTAAATCAAATATTTAGAGTACATATGCAGGGGCTAGAGAGATGGCTCAGTGGTTAAGAGTACTGACTGCTCTTCCAGAGGATCCGGGTTCAATTCCCAGCACCCACATGGCAGCTCACAACTGTCTGAAGATCCAGTTGCAGGGGATCTGACACCTTCACACCAATGCACATAAAAAATAAAGTTAAATAAACCATAGAGTACATATGCAATATTTAGAGTATATTTATAATTTCCTTATCAAGGAAACCACTGGTAATATATTGGTGTGTATTTTTTCCAGTTAGAGTGAAGCATTTTGGTTTAAAACGTGGTTCTGAACCTGTGGATTGTGACCCCTTTGAGTCAAATGACTCTTTCACAGGGAGAGCATAACAGATATTTATGTTACAATTCATAACAATAGCAAAATTACACTTAGGATGTAGAAACAAAATAATTTCATTGTTTGGGGTCACCACAACATGCGGAACTGTACTAAAGTTTTGCGGTATTAGAAAGGAGGCTGAGAACCACTGATTTAAAGTTTCCAGAATAAATTCTAAGATGTAACTATGGAAATAGCTAAAATTAGGTCACAGTCATTGAAGGGGTCAGGGAATTAAGACTGAATTGTTTAGTGTGATCATCTTGACAAGCAAATAGAACTGTTTGCTGTTCTGTTCTGTTCTATGCTGGGGTGAGCCCAGGGCCTCAAGCATGCTGGATGAGCAGTCACTGACTCCTGGGTCCCCGGTCATGTACATGGACGTGAAAGTCAGGCTCTGAAGTACGGAGGGGTCTGTGCGCTTCATTTCCATTCATCTCTTTGTCTCTAGAATCTTATAGCTATTTAAGTGATATTTAAGTGAAGACAGTTATAGGAAAGTGCCTAAGATTTGATTTTAGGTGTGGTGTGGTGTGTGTGTGGGAGAAGGGTCAAGTAGCAAGATTTACAGCAAACTCTAATTGAGACATCTGTGAAAAGACTATACTAAATGTTTTATTTAACTTGATCGTATGAGGAAAAGTAGTCTCTGAGAACTGCCTTGTGTAAAAGAGATAATGACTTTGGTGGTTATATGACTCCCTGCATGAGGCTGGGTAACACCCCTTTCCGAATACCTTAAGAAATGTATCCAGAGTCAGGCAGTGGTGGTCTGTTTTTAATCCCAGAACTTTGGAGGCAGAGGCAGGCAGATCTGGATCTCTGAGACTTCAAGGCCAGTTGGTCTACGTAGTAAGTTCTAGGACTGCCAGGACGATGTAGAGAAATCTAGACTCAAAAAAAAACTTTATCCAGTTTTATACTTATTTTTGCAATCATACTAAATGATAAGATGGGTGGAGATATGCATGTGTACAAGCACATATACACAAACATCTGTATACTTATACCTTTGCTCTGAGTATGTATGCATCTATCTTGTCTGTCTGACTATCTTACCTACACCTACCAAGAAAAGAGAAACTGATACTTCTGGAAAATAGTCCAAAATATGACTACATTAGTTCATGTTTGAAAATAAACTTCTAGCTGGGCGTGGTGGCACACACCTTTAATCTCAGCACTTGGGAGGCAGAGGCAGGCAGGTCACTGAGTTTGAGGCCAGCCTGATCTACAGAGTGAGCTCTAGGACAGCTAGGGCTACACAGAGAAATCCTGTCTCAAAAACCAAAACCAAACACTAAGAGAGACTTACATAGATCTAATCTACATGGGAAGTAAAAAGTAGAAAAAGATATCCTGAGTAAATTGGGAGCATGGGGACCTTGGGGGAGGAGGGGAGAGGCTAGGAGCAGAGAAAAATGTAGAGCTCAATAAAAATTTTTAAAAAACCCAAACCAAAATAAACAAACACAAAACCAAATAAATAAATAAATAAACAAACTTCTAAAGAGGGCACACAAGGCCCCACCCCTTCCCAAGGATCTGTAACCAGTTAATGGTGGCTGGGTGAGAGAAACATGTTCTTTAGTCGTAGAGCCACTGGTATGTTCTCATGTTTCTGTATATAACTGTTATAAACTCATTGGTTCACTATTTTAAAAGACATGAACATTGAAGGGGGATTATGGAAGTGAAGAAGGATGGGAAAGGGAAGGGACTCAAAGGGAGATAAGGGAGATAAGGGATGGTAATGGAGATGACTATGATCAAGATACATCATATACCTCTGTGAAGATGTCCTAGGGAAACCCATCAGTATGTATAATTAATATATCCCAGTAAAGAACTTTTTTTTGGGGGGGGGGTTTCAAGACAGGGTTTTTCTGTGGCTTTGGAGCCTGTCCTGGCACTAGCTCTTGTAGACCAGGCTGGTCTTGAACTCACAGAGATCCGCCTGTGTCTCTGCCTCCTGAGTGCTGGGATTAAAGGCGTGCCACCACTGCCCGGCCTCAGTAAAAAAAAACTAAATAAAAGAAACTTCTAATACATAATCAGGCATATATATATGTGTGTGTGTATATATATATATATATATATTAGTATATATGTAGTGTCTCATGTAGCACAAACTGGCCTCAATTTTGAGGATGATCTTAAACTTCGGATCCTCTTGCCCCCACCTTCCCAGTGCTGGGTTTACAGAAGTGTGCCACCACACTAAACATTGGTTTCTGTTCCCCAGGACTGGAATTATCTGTTTTTCATAATAGCCCTTAAGTGATGTCACTGCTTCTGACAGACCTGAGGTATTGAGTTTCTGACACACATGTGTAAGGCTTTACTATCTCTCTTGTCTCCTCCTGGTTAGGACAATAGGGATAGTTCTTGTCTAACTTGATTTCTCAGAAGACGTATGGCCATCTGATTAGAAGGAATTATATTGTTCACTTTTTCAAGTTGCTTCTCATTTTTCTGGATCATGACTTTGACTTCACACATGAACTTGGCATAGCTCTGCACATTCTTCTCTGCTTCAGTGTTCACCAGGACAGTATATTTATCTCTGGGCATAGAAATCTTCAGGACATTAAATGTCTTTTCAAAATCATTCATCAAGCTGCCTTGGCCATACTGGCCTGTAGTAAGCCCAGTTGCTCCATCACTGGGGGTTTCTCAGAGTTGTCACCATGGAGTGGAGGGTCTCATTCCAGATATTCAAGGAGTTTGCAATAGTCTTTTGGTTTCAGGGTATGATCTACCCAAAAGCTACCCAGGGTGTGACTTTTTGGCTCAAAGCAAGTTCACTTTCTACACATCTTAGGATCTTTTACCAACCACAGCAGAGTACAGCCCCCAGTTTATAACCAGCTCTTAAAAGTAACTATTTACTATTCTCTGCTAACCTGATGTAACTTTCTTGGTGTTCTAATCTGATTTAGATGCAGGTGCGTTTTGTTTATCTTTAGATTACAAAACTTTTTACATTGTCATATGAGTTACTTGTTTCTCCTAGAACTATGAACCTTTCTAGACCCATATTTACAAATAAGTTATATTGGTGTTTTGTGAGTGAATAAATAAATGTAATACTAAGTAGTCACATGTAGGCATTGCTTGTCATTTTTCATGAAAAAATAGTGGAGTATATGATAGG